TTTATTTGTGTTTCAGTCTTGACCACAAAGGCACGTGAAGAGAAAAAGGAAACCATAGAGGGAACACATCGACCACTTCTCTCCCTCATATCAGGTTTAAGTCAATGCACCACGCTGGGTAAAACTAGTATCCACCTTCTATCCTGGGTGAAGTACAAGAACACCATGAGAAACCAGGCTCCCACTGGCTTGTACAGTGCCTTGCAAAAGTATTCATCCCCCTTGGCGTTTTTCCTATTTTGTTGCATTACAACCTGTAATTTAAATTGATTTTTATTTGGATTTCATGTTATGGACATGCACAAAATAGTCCAAATTGGTGAAGTGAAATTAAAAAAATAACTTGTTTCAAAAGATTCTCAAAGATAAATAACGGAAAAGTGGTACGTGCATATGTATTCACCCCCTTTGCTATGAAGCCCCTAAATAAGATCTGGCACAACCAATTACCTTCAGAAGTCACATAATTAGTTAAATAAAGTCCACCTGTGTACAATCTAAGTGTCACATGATCTCAGTATACATACACCTGTTCTGAAAGGCCCCAGAGTCTGCAACACCACTAAGCAAGGGGCATCACCAAGCAAACGACACCATGAAGACCAAGGAGCTCTCCAAACAGGTCAGGGACAAAGTTGTGGAGAAGTACAGATCAGTTATAAAAAATATCAGAAACTTGAACCATTAAATCCATTATTAAAAAATTGAAAGAACATGGCACCACAACAAACCTGCCAAGAGAGGGCCACCCACCAAAACTCACGGACCAGGCAAGGAGGGCATTAATCAGAGAGGAAACAAAGAGACCAAAGATAACCCTGAAGGAGCTGCAAAGCTCCACAGCAGAGATTGGAGTATCTGTCCATAGGACCACTTTAAGCCGTACACTCCACAGAGCTGGGCTTTACGGAAGAGTGGCCAGAAAAAAGCCATTGCTTAAAGAAAAAAATAAGCAAGCACGTTTGGTATTCACCAAAAGGCATGTGGGAGACTCCCCAAACATATGGAAGAAGGTACTCTGGTCAGATGAGACTACAATTGAGCTTTTTGGCCATCAAGGAAAATGCTATGTCTGGCGCAAACCCAACACCTCAAATGTTTTTCATCGGCAGGGACTGGGAAACTGGTCAGAATTGAAGGAATGATAGATGGCGCTAAATACAGGGAAATTCTTGAGGGAAACCTATTTCAGTCTTCCAGAGATTTGAGACTGGGACGGAGGTTCACCTTCCAGCAGGACAATGACCCTAAGCATACTGCTAAAGCAACACTCGAGTGGTTTAAGGGGAAACATTTAAATGTCTTGGAATGGCCTAGTCAAAGCCCAGACCTCAATCCAATTGAGAATCTGTGGTATGACTTAAAGATTGCTGTACACCAGCGGAACCCATCCAACTTGAAGGAGCTGGAGCAGTTTTGCCTTGAAGAATGGGCAAAAATCCCAGTGGATGGAAGTGCCAAGCTTATAGAGACATACCCCAAGAGACTTGCAGCTGTAATTGCTGCAAAAGGTGGCTCTACAAAGTATTGACTTTGTGGGGGTGAATAGTTATGCACGCTCAAGTTTTCTGTTTTTTTGTCTTATTTCTTGTTTGTTTCACAAAAAAAATTATTTTGCATCTTCAAAGTGATAGGCATGTTGTGTAAATCAAATGATACAACCCCCCCCCCAAATCTATTTTAATTCCAGGTTGTAAGGCAACAAAATAGGAGAAATGCCAAGGGGGGTGAATACTTTCGCAAGCCACTGTATGCATGTGAGACACACACCACTTTAATCAAAGGCGCATTTCAGACAAGCAGTCATGCGCATTGCACTAACAATGTGCCTTTTAAAGGTAATTTACCTGACCTTTGCATGCTGCAAATGTCGGCTTAAGAGTTAATTAGCTTTAAAAGTAAAGTACAGTGCATTTGTCTACAATGCGTATTTGATAGAATCCCGACCTAATAAACAGGGTTGAGGTTCAGTTTCCATATTCTGAGTGGATTTGTCATTATTTGTTTGTAAAGTAGGGATGTCACATGGATACCATGACAATAAACACTCAAGATATGAAACACATTTCACATTTCTCCAAGTGTGTTGTTCCTGACGACCAACAAAATGGCTTCTCCTTCACTGGGTAGAATATTTTCATATTTCAAGCATATGAAAATGTAATGCAAGGTATATTTACCAGGGGAAAGTTGTAGACATTGTTGAATTGGGACAATGGAGGCAATAGACAGGAAATGTGAAGTGCTCTGCTGTAGCTCAAACAACAGTCCGTTTTAGGGAATGACTGACCTGGGGATATGGCAGAAACAGATGCCTGGTAGGAAGGATAAGAGGCTGGCTCGTGACTAGGGCCTCCATGGTGGTAGGAAAGAAAGACAGGAGATAAAAAGGAGTAGAATAATGACAAGACAGACAGAGGGAGGAAACAAGAGCCAAGGGAGCGATAGAGAGGTCGAGGGCGAGTGGTGTGTGTGTGTGTGCATGTTTCTATGCGTGTTTCTATGCGTGTGCCTATCTGCATGAGTGTGTATGTGTGTGTGTGAGCACACGTTCAAGTGCTTGCGATAAACAGACGGCAGCTGGTAAAGGAGATTAAAGTTTCTATCTCTACAGTAACTGACTCTTCAAACCCCCAACTGCTCAGATCCTAAAAACATCCCCCTCATCCCCCTTCCTTCCGCAAGTCCTAACCCACCCCTACTTACCCCACACCCAACCCCCACCCTAAAACTCATCACAGAGCACCGACTGTTTCCTCTGTCTTCCCCCTCTCCTTCCATCTGTGAGCTGACAACAACAGAGGTCCATTAGGAAAGTGTGCACGAGGACAACCCTTGAGATCTTTTTTGGCTATGTCCACTGAGTGGACAGGAAGAGGCTACAAAAACTAAATGGGGCTTTATTCAATACGTATCGCAGAAATTCAGCATTACAGCGTTATTTAAATTTAAAGGCAATGTTCCCGCATTAGCAGAGATTGCATTCACGATTAACGTTGCATATGTTGTCTCAATCGGAAATTACCTCTACATTTCTATTGCGCAATCTGTAATGCTTCAGGGATACAGATTGAATCGAGCCCTCAGTTAATATACTTTATTGTACATTTTCTTTGCAGATCACGGAAATATGTTGGGACAAAGGCCGGGATTTAATCAGATTGCACTTTGTCGGCTAGGCACCTTTTAAAGGCAATATTCCCTCGTTCGCGGAGACTGGATTCAAGCTACATATATCGGCTCAATCAGAAATGAAGTGTGAAGTGTGGTATTGTGCGGATCTATCGCTGATTGGATTGAATTCTGGTCTAAAGGGGATTGCCTCTTTTTCCATTGAGGTTTATTTTTGCAGTCTTTTTGTACACACTGTACTGTATGTACACAATATACGGAGCCCAGGGACCCAGGCTATCTTTTCATACTGTTGTGTAGTATGTGGTTAGTACATGGGAGCTTATACTGTAATAGATGTTGGATATGCATGTATTTTTGCTCCAGCTAATGTTTTGGATTAGCAACATTTAACAAAGTGGACATACAGATATGACATATAATTCACAGCGAATGAAAATTCAGAGACATGATTAATTATTTCACCAGTTGGTTGTTTTATTTATTTTCAGCAATAACACCAAATGTATTTCTATTGTCTTGGGAGATGCGTTTGAATTGTAAACAATGAAAATGATCAAACACATTTCATGAAACTCCTGACAAGCAGTGTATGACCAGGAAAGGGCAGACCGTAGCCAACCTTCCTAATGTTTATAACAATACATGTCATCTTATAGCTTTGAGTCTCTCATATTTACATAGATACAGCCAGGTTCCAGCTCAATGCAATTGAAACCTCTTGTTTTTTTAGTTTTTTTCTTTCTTTTCTTAAAGAATTATATGTACATCCTTAACCCCTAGCTGCCTGCTGCCAGGGTACACAGTTAGAATGACTTGCTTAATTCATGTATCTATTCTTGATTATTTACTTAAACTGTAAATCAGCTTTATAGCAGAATTTTGCAACACAACTCTTACAAATAAAGTTTATAATACAGAGCTCAAGACATTGTCTTTCCGATAAAAATTGAAAAAAAGGAAAATAAACAAAAACATATTGCACTTAAAGTCAGGACAGCGGTGGACCTGGTTCGTGGTTAGGGGAAGGGAGAGCTTTCAGCTGAGTGCAATGGGTGAAGCATCCAGCAAGATATCTAAATAAATAGGCAGACCTTTGTACAGGTGAAGCATTTATTGTATTTTTTATGTGTATGAAAAGAGCAACCTCCCAACAGTATTGCTCAGTATACTTATGGAGTGCAGGTTTGAACTTAAAATTATTTTAAAAAAAAAAACATTTTATGTGTATACTGAAAATGAATAGCAATAAAATCAAGCATGGAAGCTTCATAGTCAAGTGCCTTAATGTCCTGAGAATGCTGCCTCGTTGAGTCCAGGTGGAGCTACAATGAATTGCTTATCAGAACACAGTCAAGTGTTACTTCTCTTTATTCTACGTTCTTTGGAGGCAGCAAGTCTTTTTTAGATTTTCAAGATCTTTTAGAGTGAGAGTGGCACATTTCTGCTTTTGCAGTTTTGGTCCGTTCCATTGTTGGTATTTTTCCATCTTTCTCTCTCTCTCTCTTCTTTCCCTCTGTCTCTCAGTGTCTTTTGCTGTATTACTTGGATGAATGTGATGAGGTGAGACCCTGTGAGAGGGTGCTGAACAGAACAGATGCTGACTATGCTTGAGAGATGTGTGTACACCGTGAACAGAAAAAATATTCAAAACCGGACAAAAACGGCTTTTCGTCCAGTCATCCAGACATTGATCCAGCTATCACGTTTCTCCTTTTTCTCGCAAGCCGTTTGGAAATGGTATTTAAAGCATTGTGAGACATGGAGAAACTAAGACAAAACAAACCTTTGTGTCGTACCAACAGCATTTGAACTGGCTCCAAAGGAGGAGGAGGAGGAGGAGGAGGAGGAGGAGGAGGAGGAGGAGGGTGATTGGGGGTGTAAAAAAAAGAAGAAGGTAAATATCAACAAAAGCGCCAAAACAGTACCGGACTGTCTTCATGTCTGCGGAGGTTTCAGCACCCCATCCTTTCTACAGTACATCCGGACAAATTAATGTATATCGTTATGAAAGACAGACAGTGATCAATTATCAATGAGAGTGATCAGAGAAGTGTCCAGCCGTCACATGACTGTGACCAGCTGTCCTGACTGGGCTCTCCTCTCCATCCTTTCATCCATCCACAATCGGCCCGTCATCATGGTCGTTGTGTAAACAACATCCCCCTCAATCCCACAGCCTAGCTTGCTGTCTCTCTCACACCCAAATTATAGTGGGACAGGAAGATGGCAGAAACAAAACGGCGAACGTATAAAAAAATCAACCTCCCCCTGCTTTCAAGTCTCTGTCTTCTCTCTTTTGTCGTCGTCTCTCACTTTCTCTCTCAATCTCTGTGTGTTTACGACGATGAGGAGGTGGACGTGGTGCTGGCCTTCTTCTGGTTGACTAAGTCCATGTAGAGTTCTGAGCGGAGGAAGCGGGGGTACGAGTCCTTCTCCATCAGGCCGTATATCCTGCGCTGGGCCAGGTCGAAGCAGGAGCGCGTCACATTCTGAAGGTTGTCCTTGGTGTGTTCTCGGGTGTACGAGTCCAAGTTCACCTGAGAGAGGGAACGAGGGAAGGAGGGAGGGGAAGAAGCAGCAGAGCAGGTTAGTTTCAGTGCTACTGACAACTGGTTCAAGCAGTTGGGGCTGATTTGTGATTTGAAGTTTCCACCCGGCTCTCCAGGTTTGAAACAAAAAGGGAAAAGGGGAAAAGTGAAGGAGTCTATTTAGTGCATGTCATGCGGCCAAAGAAAGACAGTTTGTCAGGAATGATCTCACATCCTCTCCAGCTCGCTCGTTCCCTTGTGGGAGCACCTTCTGACAGGCATTACACATTCATCACCTAACATCTTTAGCGGGGGGAACAATGCTGAGGGGGCCTGCCAAAATCACAGCTTTTTCTATTTACAGCAGGAACAAGTTCATAGCCTAGTTTCTGTCAGGGAAGTGTTAGAAGCGGAATCAAGGCGAGTGAAGTTGGGATTAGAGAACACTATCTTAATTGATGGGCCGCTGACTAAGTCTTTTACAATAAATCAAAGTAAACAATTTGGAAAATGGAAATGGAGACCTCATTTAGGTATAAACATTGCCTAACGGCTAGAGAGGGTAAATGACAGTTGAATGGTATTTACCACCATCCCTTGTGAGTATGGGTCTGTGAGTGTATGGGGATTGCTGCTCACCTCTTTACAAGACTGGATGGCGATGTATTCAGCAAAGACCTTCTTGGCTTTGGACGCCATCTTGGATTGCGACTTAATCTTCTTGTAATCCTCACATGCCAGCCAGAATTCCAGATTCTCCTCGCTGAACTCTGTGCGCAGGAAAGCTCTGAACGCCGCCAGGCCATCTGAAAGGGGGAAGGAAAAAGAAAGACAGAGGTGTGGGTTAGTGGACATGACTGGAGAGCCATGGCAACACTGCGGCATCTCTCTCAGTAAGGGAGACTACCTAAAATAGCACAGTAGCCCAGTCCATTGAGTCACACTGTTAAAAAGGGGACTATAGCCAGCATGCAGTCACCTCCGAGACACCTATCCATTCATCTCCCATACACAACAGTTATCCAGCATCACCCCACTGACCCTACACTATACTCTGTTACCTTTTCCTGTCATCAACACCACTCATTGGAATGTCTTTTTCCATCTTGTCTCTGAACAAAGAGAAGCCTTTCTTGTTCTAGGTGGGGTCAGTTTGCTTGTCAACCGATTTCTGTTGCTTTGGCTATTGGGATTGGTGTTTTTAATTACTTAAGGAAAAGCCATCAGCAGGGTAAGAATAGCAGGAAGCAGAGTCCCACCCTGCCTGGTCGCCCACACCTTTCCGTTCACATGAACCCCCCTGGGCTGATTACATTACACTAAGAGCAGAGAGAGACTTTCCCTACAGGTCAGCCAGAGGGAGGAAAAGAAAGGGATTCAAGTGTTGTCCCGCTAAGAGAGGGAGTTGAATATGGATTTGGACACCCAGCCCCACAGCACTCAGACCAAGGCTATGAATTATGGAAGCATACAAATATAGCAACACTACTCTGAAGCCTTCTCTCTCTCTCTCTCTCTCTCTCTCTCTCTCTCTCTCTCTCTCTCTCTCTCTCTCTCTCTCTCAGCCACCCAGCCAATAATCTGGTCCCTCTCCCCATACAGTAATGCACGGTTCTATTCATCCACTGGGATTAGTGGGAGAGCTGCAGCAGAGTGCCTCAACAGGCTGCCCATTCACTGCAGGCGTGCAACAACTCACACACACACTGAATTCACATCGCACAAGCAACAAGCAAGGCATGCATGCTTAATGCATGTCAATATGAGCATATTTCCTGCCCGTACCAGACCCATGCACATTGTTCCTTATTCATAATTAATGCAATTGTTCCCCATGCTTCAGTTAAACTTAAACCAGATCCACATAGGACCATATGGCAATCAACCCCAGATGGGCATGAGTAATTTCCTTTATCCCCTTGGGTTTGATTGATTAAATGGATGGAGAGAATAAAGAAGGAGAAGAATAAGAAGGAAAGGCAGACTTACATTTATGGGCCAGCAGCTTGTCCAGAGATTCCCCCCATTTGAGTGCCTCCTCCGGGGTGGGCCTGCAAATGAAAGCGGAGCGGTTCTTTAGCAAGCCCATCTCTGCCAGGTTTCTCATAGTGTGACCCATCCGAAGCCCTGTGCTCCACTGTACTGCACTGGACTGGTAAGGAGCGACAGTGTGGTCCTTTGGCTAGTCCTCTGTTGAATTGCTATTCCTTTCTTCTTATTCTCTCTTTCACACTCTCTGGCGCTCTGGGGCTGTGTGTGAGCGAGCGTGTGTGAGTGTGTATGAGTGTGTGTGCATAAATCTGTCTAACTGCCTCCACTGGACTACTCATCTTATACTCCCTCTCACTGCAGCTCAGGAGGCAGGGAGGGGCAGGACTAAGCCGGCCAATGGGGAGAGGGTTTGAACCTGAGGGTCCACCCCCCAGCTTTTATGCCCGCCCCTTTCGTCCCTCATTCTCTCTGCTCTCTGATAGAGGATACGCTTTCTCACCTTCAACACATCTGCAGTCTTGTTGACATGGCAACACAGGAATATAGGACCCAACCATGTGAATCCATTATAATAACACTACACACACAGATACTACTGGTTCTTTGTTTCCATTTTCTACCTTATTTACATTTTTATCAGTTAATGTTGCAACTGGGCTCTGTGAATAAATTAAATCTCTCTCTCTCTCTCTCTCTCTCTCTCTCTCTCTCTCTCTCTCTCTCTCTCTCTCTCTCTCTCTCTCTCTCTCTGTGGACAAAACATGTATGTGTCTCTGTACAACATTGCATAATACAGTATAATGTATGACTGACTACCTGTCACATACACAAACAAATGGACCTCCTGCTCGCTCTGTTACTGTTGCTGGCCGATATTTATTGCATTATGCACGCTTGAATTTCTTTTAAATAGCAGTTGAGTAGATGCAGCTTGTGTTCAAGCGAGCATACTCTAAAGACGCAATGGCAGACTATACATTAGACTTATACATTAGCCATTGTACAGGACCAGGACCAGTTTTGTCAATCAAACTAGCCATATAGCTACAGTATAAATACAGTATAGACATAGATACGTAACCACGGATATTGATGTAGTCTGACCGGACCTATCGCTCTGTTAGCAGAGTTGACCCGTCACTGACCCATCAACATTTCACAATGTTGCAACTCAAAATCAAGCACCAAAACACATGCATCAAATCTAATACAGATCCACTCTCTAAAACGTTCTCTATTTAAACAGGTAGAAAAAGGAACATAAATGAACTATACGACAACGTATGGCTTCCTTAACCAAAGCTATAACATCCGCCTAACCTGTAACGGCTATCACATCTGCCTAACCTGTAACGGCTATCACATCCGCCTAACCTGTAACGGCTATCACATCCGCCTAACCTGTAACGGCTATCACATCCACCTAACCTATAATGGCTATCACATCCGCCTAACCTGTAACGGCTATCACATCCACCTAACCTGTAACGGCTATCACATCCGCCTAACCTGTAACGGCTATCACATCCACCTAACCTGTAATGGCTATCACATCCACCTAACCTGTAACGGCTATCACATCTGCCTAACCTGTAAAGGCTATCACATCCGCCTTAGCTTACGGATAACCAGAGATCGTTAAACACTTTGAGACGTAATTAATCTGCTATCCCTCCTCCTTCCTTCCCTCCTTAATTTATGTCTTTCTCAACAGTGGCTTTACAAGCGCTTCTTCACAGTGCCCAATCATCTGTCTATCTGAGCCAAGTCATCACCAGCTGGCGTGAGACTCAGAAAGCGGGCATGTGACAAACACACACGACAAACACACAAAAACATTGACAAACAAACATAAGTACACAAAAAACTCACTTTACTGACTTCAAGGACTTGTCGAATTTGCCGGCTGGGTTGCTTCCAGGAGACTCATTCCTCCTCCTCAGGAAAGCAAGCCGGTTCTTCATGTCTTTGGCCCTGAGTAAGGGAAGGATAGACAGAGAGAGAGAGAAAGAAAGAAAGAAAGAAAGAAAGAAAGAAAGAAAGAAAGAAAGAAAGAAAGAAAGAAAGAAAGAAAGAAAGAAAGAAAGAAAGAAAGAAAGAAAGAAAGAAAGAAAGAAAGAAAGAAAGAAAGAAAGAAAGAAAGGGATGGAGAGAGACAAATAGAGAAAAATGAAGAAAGGGATGTGAAGAGACCAAGGGGGGAGAAGGGGGTTGAGTCTTCCAGAAATTCTAAGCAAAACAATTAAATCCAAGTCATGGTAAACACAGCTCATGTTTAAAGACAAACTCCAGCGGTCCAAATCAGTTCCATATGCTCAAAATCAGAAAAAGGAAAAAAGTGCCAGGGCTGTATACATTTCAGACTTCAGCAGGATATTCAAGTGCAGTAGAGTAGAGTGGTGTCCAGTGGAAGTTACAGCACAGTGACAGCTAATATCTCTCCCTCTCCGTTGTCAATGTCTTCTTTCAATATATCTCTCCTCTAGTTCTATCCCTGGCAGGTCCTTATGCAGGGAGTGAGTGAATCTGGCAGTGAAGGAGGAGAGACTCACTCCTCTGCGCAATCACACCATTCTCCAGGTGCCGAAAGGGACCCTGAGAGGGAGATAACCCAGGGCCGGGGCCCTCGGGACGGGACACGGTGCACAGCTGCACCCCCTCCACCTCCATCACCCAAACTATACCCCCCACCATCAACAACACCCTGCAACACCCCTTCCCATCCCCATCTCCCCAGAGAGGGCATGCCAACCCTAGTCCTCCATGCTATCCAACAATCCCTGGGTGGCTCCTGGCTCCTCCCTCTGACCTCACATGCTTCCTCATAGGGACACGACCCCACACGACTCCCACTTCCTGGTTGATTTCCACTGTGTATTAGCTATTAGCTCACGCGCTAACACGCCACTGTCCTAATCACTGTCAGCTGGCCTAATGCCACCAAGAGCCCAAGTGAGACCACAGGACCCAAAAAAGCATTCCATTTTTGGAGCCTGAAAACACACACACATACAGTACAAACGCTAACACACACATACACACACACACACACATTTAATCACACACATGCATACTGTACGCACGCACACCCTCACCCTCTCTCTGCCTGTCTCCAAAGGCCCTCTCCCTACACCTGATCATGTGGGTTTTCCACCCATATATATATATATATTTTGTCCTCAAGCTGGGGCTGGTTAGAGTGATATTGTCTCCTCGTGGAGAAGTTTCTGGAAGTGGCTCTGAAGGCTACGAGATAGAACGTCTTCTCTCCTCTCTTATCTCTTCAGCAGGATGGGAGAGAGAGCGTGATGAAATGTTAGTCAGCACTGTGATCCTCCAGCCAGAGAGAGAGAAAGAGAGAGAGGGGACCATGTGCAACCCCCTCCATCCCGTCCCCCTTACACCGGATGTCTCTGCATTTCTCACTGAGCGAGATCAGGAAATTGATTGTAAAAAGAAAAAAAGGCTGACCTCAAGGAATGTGAACAATCTGTTTCTAAAATCCTGTCCCTGATCAGTGTGGATATTTTAGGGCTATCTGGGTGACAGGCTTAACGGCCATTGTGATTCATCTAAAAACAGAAGGTGATCTTTAACAAGGCACCATAAAAGGTTATAGGTGTTGCATTGGGCATGATTACAATATTCCAGAGTAGGGCTGTATTAAACCATGCTCTATCCAGATGAGGAGCTAGCGCTAGAGTGGAGTAAAATTGGGTCGTTGATGTGGTGAAAAACATTAAAAACATTACACTCTACCTCTGGCACAGTTTTTCTCTTAACAACCCACACTCACCAGTCTGAAGTGATCACTACCTCAAAAAAAAGCTATTTTAGAAAGGCATAAAATCATCATAGAGAAGTGGAATGTATTGGATTGTTCTATTTTTAGTATCCACCGCCGTTTGGCTTATAACTATGTGAGGTTAAAGACGAATAGGGGTACCATGCCAATGTATGTGAGAAAAGGCACTCGTTTTCTACGAGCCCTGGAACATTTCTGGTTTCAATACAACTTGGAGTGAACTACGCTGGCCTGGGCTGGGTGGAAAGATATGACAAGGCTGTGAACACTCTGGTCAGTGAGAACTGGGAGAGGGAGCTGAATTCACAACTCTACACTGCCACCTTCTGGCTGGATCAGTGTACGACAGAGATATAGCCCTCCATTCTCAACAATTTCATGTACTGTAGTAGAATAATGACTAATAACATTAAATTGTTTGGTATTAAAAGATGATAACAGTAACAATCCCTTTCTGATTTACAAATCTCACAATTTTTGTTTGAATAAACTACATTATAGTGATGAAAACTACAGGTACATTTAATTTTGCTTAACAGACCATGCTACAACCCACTCAAACCATCTCATTGTTTCAAATCAAATCTAATGTTATTTGTCACATGCGCCAAATACAACAGGTGTAGACCTTATCATGAAATGCTTACTTAAAAGCCCTTAACCAACAATGCAGTTCAAAAAATAGAGTTAAGAAAAGATTTACTAAATAAACTAAAGTAATAAATACAATAAAAAGTAACACAATAAAGTAACAACACCGAGGCTATATATAGCTGATACCGGTACCGAGTCAATGTGCGGGGGCACAGGTTTGTTGAGGTAATTTGTACATGTAGGTAAAGGTAAAGTGACTATGCATAGATAATAAACAGCCAGTAGCAGCAGTGTAAAAACAATGTAAATAGTCCAGGTGGCCATTTTATTAATTGTTCAGCAGTCTTATGGCTTGGGGGTAGAAGCTGTTAAGGAGCCTTTTGGAGCTAGACTTGGCGCTCCGGTACCGCTTGCCATGCGGTAGCAGAGAGAACAGTCTATGACTTGGGTGACTGGAGTCTTTTACAATTTTTTGGGCCTTCCTCTGACACCGCCTAGTATATAGGTCCTGGATGGCAGGAAGCTTGCCCCAGTAATGTACTGGGCCGTACGCACTACCCTCTGTAGCAACTTACGGTCAGATGCCGAGCAGTTGCCATACCAGGCGGTGATGCAACCGGTCAGGATGCTCTCGATGGTGCAGCTGTATAACTTTTTGAGGATCTGGGGACCCATGCAAAATCTTTTCAGTCTCCTGAGGGGGAAAAGGTGTTGTCATGCCATCTTCACGACTGTCTTGGTGTGTTTGGGCCATGATAGTTTGTTGGTGATGTGGACACCAAGGAACTAGTCCACGATCATCTCCTTTGTCTTGCTCACGTTGTGGGAGAGGTTGTTGTCCTGGCACCACACTGCCAGGTTTCTGACCTCCTCCCTATAGGCTGTCTCATCGTTGTCGGTGATCAGGCCCACCACTGTTGTATCGTCAGCAAACTTAATGATGGTGTTGGAGTCGTGCTTGGCAACACAGTCGTGGGTGAACAGGGATTACAGGAGGGGACTAAGCACGCACCCCTGAGGGGCCCCCGTGTTGAGGATCAGCGTGACAGATGTGTTGTTGCCTACCCTTACCACCTGGGGGCAGCCCATCAGGAAGTCCAGGATCCAGTTGCAGAGGGAGTTGTTTAGTCCCAGGGTCCTTAGCTTAGTGATGAGCTTTGTGGGCACTGTGGTGTTGAACGATGAGCTGTAGTCAATGAACAGCATTCTCACATAGGTGTTCCTTTTGTGCAGGTGGGAAAGGGCAGTGTGGAGTGCGATTGAGATTGTGTCATCTGTGGATCTGTTGGGGCGGTATGTGAATTGGAGTGGGTCTAGGGTTTCCCGGATGATGGTGTTGATGTGAGCCATGACCAGCCTTTCAAAGCACTTCATGGCTACCGACGTGAGTGCTACGGGGCGGTAGTCATTTAGGCAGGTTACCTTCGCTTTCTTGGGCAAAGGGACTATGGTGGTCTGCTTGAAAATAGGGTATTCAGTAGTTGAATACCCTTGTTTGTGTTAATGCTACTCTATAGACCTATGCCATGAGTCTATAAGTGTTATTGAGTGCCAAGCACGTGAGGCTGCTGAAACGCATCTCAGGCTAAGGCAGTGATGAGGAGGTTACACACATGGCAGCTCTCCGACTACGGCCATCTATCACATTGCTTCTGTGATTATTAGCTCATACACTGGGCCTGAGGGGCTGAGGGCTACAGCAGAGGCCAGTATCAGAGCTCCCACTCCGCATGGTGAAGACACTACAGCCACAGAGGGCAGGCAGGGGACCCCTCTCCCACCACTCCTAACTCTGCATAAAATACCCCGGGTACAGAGCGGCAGTGGAATAAGTTGTGTGTGTTCCTCTCTTCATTAAACATAGCCATAACCCTGACAGGGTAATCTGCTTTAAAAACAGCCACATCCCTCTATGGGAGATTATCAAATTAGGATGCTCTCTAATCCCATCCATCCAGAAAATACTTCTGTTACCCGCCATGTTCCCTATCTGCCAGGCCGCGATGTGTGTGTGTGTGTGTGTGTGTGTGTGTGTGCGTGTGTGTGTGTGTGTGCTTGTGTTGTGTAGAGGGGGCTGGAGGGTGGGTCTTTAGCGTTGCAATTATCTCAGGTCTCTCTGTGTTATTCCCACTTCTCCTGGCTCACATTAGAGACAGTAATAGCCTCTCTCCAGGCTAATCCTGGTACCGTGAAACTGGGCCGCACTCCCAGGGATCTCTAGCTAGCTAGGCACTAAGAACTCAAGGGGAAAGCTGGAGCGCTGGGGAGGTGCAGAGAGACACACTGCAATTGTACTGTAGATGTGGTAGAGTGTGACTGTCTGACTGACTGACTGACTGACAGCCATAGGGGCTACAGGGGGGCATGTCAACACCAATGTTAGATCACATAGAGAGATAAAGAACTGCACTGACGTACTAGAAATGTGCAACAACAAAGGAATAACATAGTATAGTATGTTATTGTATGTGTAAAGTATTTAAGAAAAAAATACTTTAAAGTAGTACTTAAGTATTTTTTTGGGGTATCTGTACTTTATTTTACTATTTATATTTTTGACAACTTTTACTTTTACACTACATTCCTAACGAAAAGAATATACTTTTTACGCCATACATTTTCCTTAGCACCCAAAAGTACATTTTGAATGCTTAGCAGGACTGGAAAATGTTCCAATTCTAGCACTTATCAAGAGAGCATCCCTGGTCATATTTACTGCCTCTGATCTGGCAGACACCTAAACACACATGCTTCGTTTGTAAATTATGTCTGAGTGGTGGAGTGTGTCCCTGGCTATCCGTAAATTAATTAATTAATTAAATGAAATGGTGCCGTCTGGTTTACTTAATATAAGGAATTTGAAACGATTTATAGTTTTACTTTTAATACTCAAAGCTGCAATATGTAACTTTTTGGGCTACCATACGGCTGGGTGCCGTCACGAGCGCCTGAGCGCATCTGAATTCCAAATACAGTAGTACATTTTATTCTAACCAAGGCTAATGCTGAACATAGGAATTGTCCTACATTGTTCAGTATGTATAAATTAACACTGTACGGACCCGCACCCCCCAACTGAGCCGTCTGCCAAATTGTTATCTAAATTCTCAACATTACTCACCTAAAAAACCACAGAGACCACATAAGAAAAACAGGCCGATTATTAAGACGAGGCCAATCTCTAGCTATAAATTGAGAAATGTGTGTTATAGATCTGTCATTCTCATTGAAAGCAAGTCTAAGAAGCGGTAGATCTGTTCTATGTGCGCTAATTCTATGCTTCCTGTTCTTAAGT